TTACGTCGGAGGAGATATTGGTGAACCTCATGGTGGGCTTCTTTGGCAGTCCAGGAGAGAAACTCCTGAGTGTTTGTGGGACTGTGACTCATCTGAGTGTAAAATGTGGTGGTCATCTCTAAACAAAGAGGTTGCAGAAGTCCAGAAAATGTTTTAGTGGTGGTGGTTCTCTTTGAGGTATGTCGTTCTCTTGGACATCGCAAAGCAAAATATCGCTAGCCTGCAGTGGAATTCACAGTACCCAAACATAGGCAGTTCAGGAACTACCAGCAATGGTCAAAAACTTGGGTGAAGCAATTCGGCAGCAGGGTGAGTGCTGCCTGGTTCAGTTTCTGCGCTACTTAGGAGAGTAGGTTAGGAAGTTCCAGCCAAGCACAAAGCTCTCTCCAGGAGCTTGGGTTGGGAAGTTTTTTGTTGCATTTGATAGAGGGATGTTATGTTCTGAAAGAGACTTGAAGTGCCACTCAGATGTGCTTGTTTTGCTTCACAGATACCAGTCCCTGCTTTCAGTCTGGTTACTAAAGAAGGCCAGCCAGTTCACTACGACATGGAGGTCCCCGACTCCGGTATTGAGCTGCAGTGCACCCTTGCCCCTGACTGCAGTGTCAGCTGGACATGGCGAGTCAAACACGGTCAACTGGAGAACAGGCCATGAAACCGTTCCTGTTTTGGAGGTTTTTACCTTGTTTGAAGAAGGAATTGCAAAAGCTTCCAACCACCCCTGCCATGGAGCACCAAGTGCAGTTGCTGGTGTTTTGTGCTGAAGTAGGATAGCTGTTCAGCAGCTCACTGCTCTCGGGCCTCACTTCTGTTGTCTGTTCTGATCCAGTTCCAAGACATGTCCTGAGCTTAGATCTTCCCCAGAACAGTGGGAATTACTTGTTTGGGGTGTGAGTGTTAGGTTGAGCTTGAGAATAGTGGGTGGAAATTCCTGCTTTTCAGAGGAATGTGATTGTGCTTTTCAGGAGAGTAGGGGGATTGGATGAGAACTCCTGTTGCTCAGCCTCCGAGGTGAAGCCGGTAGCTGCTGGGCTTGCCTAAAGGAGAAGGTTGGGTATCTTCAGTGCAGCTGTGGTTGTTTGTGCTGAGGGGAGCTGGCTAACTTCCTTCTAGCTGGAGGAAAAACTTAACGTTTCTGTAGGCTTCGGGTAGCATCATCTCTACCTCAAGCCTTTTGCATGGGGAAAATCAACAGCAGTAACTAGCTGGGTTCTTGGTTTCACCTCCCACCCTTCCCCGCAGACGCTTCCTTCTTGAATCAGAAAAGAACTTTGTTCCCAGAAAGAGCTTTGCTTGCAGCTCTCATCTTTAGGTCTCCTCCCCGATTTAGGAGCTGGTGCTCTCTCTCTGGTGTTGCAGCCAATGTTGTTTGGCAGGGGGAGGGTATTCCTTGGCGGGCAGGGGGAAGGAAGGGCTTGTATGCCTCCATCCTGTTCCTGCCGCTGACTTGGGACTTCACCTGAACTGTCCCATCCCGGCAGCTCCCCCTGGAGGGGGAAGGACCCGCGGCTCAGTCCACTCAGACTGAATTTTGCTGCAGCGTTTCTAAAATCTCACTCCTAGCTATCAATCCAGCCGGATGCTTGGCCCCTCCGCTGGAGATCAGTGCCCCAGTTCTGCGTGGTGTGTTAGCTCAGCCTGTCTTCACCAGCACTTACGGACTGGCACAAGGCTTCGTACTGCTCCCCTTACGTCAAAATGTGTTAAAAGAGTGGGATGGGCAGCTGGGCCCGTAATGCCTTAAGCTTTGAACGTTTTTTTTTTTTTTTTTTACTGATTTGCGAATTGTTTGGAATAGACTGAAACTGCATGGGTCAAATTCAGATGGGCAGGTGTTGTCAGCCCTTCTGTAACCCAGAACAAAACCAGAGGGAGGTGTATGCTATGAATGTACCTCTTTGGGACTGCTCAAAGGCCTTGCAGGTCTGGAAATCACAGTCACGCAATGACGTGCTGTGGCTCTTCTAGCATGCTGTAACTACAGTGGCCTGTGAGCAGGAGCTCTCGACATCCAGATGGATTAGAGGAATGGTTCCCAAAAAGCACAGTAGGCCCTGCCGGATCTGTGCTGGTTCTGGGGGACACAATGGGGCAGGAATGTTTGCAGTTTTCTCAAGTGAAGTTCACTTAGAAAACAGCTGGGGAAAAAAGTTACACTCTGGTCTCCCAGAATGTTGGCTGGTTTTGATGCACTAGGCAGTGACATCCCTAATCAGAAAACGAAAGTTACAATGCAATAAAAAAGTGGAAATCTTGAAGAAAAATTAAAACCTGTCACCACTGTGGGTATAGTTTTTATAGCACTTTTTGTTCTGAAGCACTTAATACGTTGTCCAAAATAGACACCTAATTATAGCTGAAATGCCACATTAAGAGTCTTTTTTAGTAAACAATTAACACATTACGCACTTCTCTGCCAGGAAGGAGTGGGGGGAATGGGTAGGTTGGCTCGGTCTTTGTTTTTTCAGATGCCATAAACTACTAAGAATTGTAGGCTCTGGAGCAGGAGGGGTCAAAATGCCTTCCCAGGAGCTCCCAAGCACGTTCTGTGCACCAAACCAATCTCCCCCCACCTGGCACCCTTCCTAGGCTTCCTCTGAGCAGGGCAGGGGGAGGAGAAAAACCTGTTGGTTGTTTCTAAGAAGAGTCTGTTGGTGATGTGTCAATACGAAAGCATGGTCTGTTCCCTTCCCAAAGGCTGCATCTCGTGGCTTTCACTGTTGTCTGCAAAATGCTTCGATGTACAGGTGTACAGTTTTGTGCATTGCTGTTAGACTCAAGTTCTGCCGAGCAGTAGGGCAGGATGCAGCAGCCCTCTTGTTTGCAGGACTTCTGATCTTTACACTTCATCTATAGCATTAACGTTAATCTCAGGCCGCCTACACGAATAGGTGAAAGGCAGTAAACCCTTGCAAACCCAGAATGTCTTTGTTGGGTAGATGGAGGTGTCCGTGTTCTCCTGTACTCTCACACCAGCATTAGCCGGTATCTCCATCATGTTCGTTTTGTCCAAAACCTTCAGTCCTATTTTCCTGCCACCTCAAGTGAGAAAGTGAGGCTGCAGATTTCCACCTAAGGAATCTCGTACATGACAGCCAGACAAGCGGGCTGTGCCATCAGCAGTCCCTGCCGGATGGGAAAGATGCTTTGGCAAACACCACAAACCACTGGTGCTCTCTTACTGTCCTGAAACGTGGTTCTGCTCTCAGGAGTATCTCCAGGGCTTTCATGTTTTTGCTACCCTCCAGCTTGGGCTCTCCTCGACTCTCTCCTGCTGCCAGGACAGCATCCTCCTAATTTGGCTGGTCGTTATTGCTGTGATGGGCCTAAACAGTCCAGCTGAAGGCTGGCTGTGCAATACTGACAGAAGAGACCGTCAGGAAAGCTTTTCATTATCCACATTAAAATTTGTCTGAAACCATATGTGGTAATGTAACTATTCCTTAGGACAGAACCCCAGTTCAGGGTGGGGAAGGACAAATAGCAGTAGGAGTGATAAACACAGATGGCTGGTGTCGTGTAGCTCCTTCCAAAAGTCTGGAAAAATCACTGTCGGCAAAGCAATATGAAGCTGATCATCTCTTTGGGATGGGCGGTACTGGCGTGGGTGAAGGCAATGGAATGCCTGGCTTGTACTGAATGAATGACACTTTATAAAACTGTGATTTCTTGAAATTAACATTTTGACCTGCATTTTCACAGGGAAAAAAAAATAAAGCCAGAAAAAAAGATTCTTCGTTCTCATTGCTAGTGGTTTGATAAGAGAACAAGGCAATGGTGCTCAGTAAGACATTTTTTCAAGAAGGGAAGCCTGGTCTGATGAAACACTGCTATATATTGCCCTGGTTTTTGGGGGTTGCAGGGAGAAGTCATTTCTGGGTATGAAGAGGCAGTAATAATTTTGATGGCTCTGAGCACAGGTTTGGCTAAATATACGGGCATCTCTCTCTGTTTCCAAGCAGATAGCCCGTTGTCCGCCTCCGGTCCATTGCAGGCAGGGGGATTTGCTGCACTGGGAGCTGCTGAGTCTTCCCCTCGATAGCAGGAACATAAACCCCAAATTGCAGTTGGGGAGGGGGTTGCTATCACGTACCTACGTCTGTACTGCGAATGCAGAAGTTGGATCAGTTGTCTGCAAAATAAGGTGGGTGCTTTGTTGCTGGACTGGCCTGCAAAGGTACAGACCAGCGTAGGGAAGCACCAGACCACGTCTTGTCTCTGAGGGCGGCCCAGCCAAGCAGCAGCGTGAAACAGCCCGGGTTGGGCTCTTGCCCTGGACCTTTGTGCTGGGCTCAGCCTCTCCCTGAGCTGCCTGCTCCTCCGCGCTGTGGGTGGCAGTGGCTGTGGCTTCCTCACCCAAGCAGCCCAGCAGAGATGGGCCTGTGCAGGCACCTGGGGTCTGGTACCCTTCCCCTCAGGGACACTTGTGTAGGAAGAAGCGGCACTGCCCCTTGGAAGAGCCACATGTCCTGGCTTTGCCCTTCTCTTGCCCTGTGGCACTCTTATTCCTCCTGTTCCTACCCATTAGGTCACAGCTGCCTAGAGGCTGCCCATCCTGGAAGGAGCTGCAGGGTTGAGCAGAGCCTTGGAGTTACCCTACCCCCAGATGCAGTGGTGGGCAAGTCAGAAAGGCATCTTCCAGTTAAAAATGTTCCAAGGAGCGTGGTCACCACGCCTTATGCAGGTGGTGACGGGAACAACAGCAGCAGCGCCTCCCTCCCTCCCCATGCAAACCCTCACCCCTTCTCACACAGACAAGTGCTTTATCCTTAGAGTCTTTTTATTACCAGTTCTGCTTTAGATTAAACAGGCCTTCTGTATATAAAAATAATGTATACAAATTAGCAGTTAATGTTTTACATTTCTGGCTTAAAGGCATTTATAAGTTACACATTCATTTCCCTTCCCCTCCCCTTTGAGCTTGCGTGTGATACTGAGCCCCTTGGCGCTTAGCATCGTAATTACAGCAGGAAGCAGTCGCTGCTCTGGCTTACAGCGAGGACTTACCCTGGTCTAAAAGCTGGGGCTAGTGAGAATGTACACGGCAGCCGCGCGTCCTCGCAGCAGGGCGAGCAGGGGCCGTTTAATGAAGTAAATGCATTAACAGGTTAATTGCGACAGTGCATGGTTCGGATTTACTCGGCAGCAGCAGCAGCAGGGCAGGGGAGGAATCGAGTCCAGTGCATTATTTGGAGGCCAGCGCAGCTCTCCGGCCTCTCTCCTGCATGATTTCAACAGCGACCCTGCAACATTTTGGGATGGTGGTGGTTGTGGCGGGGGCTGGAGCCACCTGGCACCTACTGCACGGCGCGTCCTGCAACGCTGGCTAACGGGGAGCGGCCTCGTGCTCCCCGAGGGCTGACGGTCACCGTTGGCTCCAAGAGGTGGCGGATGCCAGGGATGCAGGGGGGCAGAGCTAGATCCCACCTTGCAGAGACCGGAGGATGGCAAAGCCGGGGCCCTGCTGCTGGTCATAGCTACGGAGCCTGCCCTACAGTGAGGAACAGACTCACCCGAGCCTTAGGATCCTGGTGAGATCCTGTGTTCGGGTGTTCCAGTCCCTGCTCCCTTAGCACAGATAAATTTTAAGGAAGACAAGTAAAAATCACTGTAAAATAGCACCCCTGCCAGCTCCTGGGGTACGGGAAGTGCCCAGGGTGGGATCTTTGCAGCAGGCTCCTCGCTGGAGAGGAGGCGCAGCCCGTGCCTGCTCGGCTCCGCAGCGGAGGCGAACACGGGACTCAAAGGGCCGGGGGAGAAGGGGGAGATGTGCGGGGATGGCTGTGTCCCTGCCTTACAAACTCCTCCCCTCCTGCAGTGGGAAATCAAAGGCACCAGCAAGCTGAAGAGTGGGGCACACCAGCGTGCAGGGCTGACCCTGAGACGGGCGTGCAATGGAGCAGCTCGGGGGCAGAGATGGGGCAGCCCCTCTTTTCCTTCCAAGCCAAGTTGGGGCCCTCGCTGTGCCCTCTACTCCCTGCCCATACCCAGGAGGGTCCCCCAGCCCTGCCAGCCTGGAGGAGAGGAGTTCAGAGGCAATGCTAAGCAAGCACCAGGGGATCCCCGTGCCGGACCCGTGGGCGTGCAGGGTGGGAGCTGGCACACTAAGTGGCTGGAGCAGCGGGGAGCGGGCACTGTCCCTCCACTTCGTCTCGTCCCAGGCTGGCAGGTTGATGTCCTGCAGTCCCATCTGCCTCGGGAGGATGGTCCTGCCCCGGTCCTGGCAGCTGCAGGGACGGCGCCGGTCACAGCGAGATGTCCGGCGTCGCCTGCAAGCTCTGCCCTGCAGCCCGTTTCTTGGCACTGCTGCGGCCCTTGTCTGCACGCCGGTAAGGGTTGTTCCGCAGATCTGCACCGGGAGAATGCACAGAGGCTGGCTGAGCTCTGTCTGCCCGCCCCAGCGAAGGCTGGGACCCAGTCACCCACCACCGCCCAGGAGTCACCCCCATTTGGGGATGAGGATGCTCGGGAGAAGCCTGACCCGCAGCAGGCAGCAACAGGAGGAGCAGCAGCTACGAACAACTAGCCTGTGGGACCCCGTCCCTTGGCTCTTTTGGTGCCCAGCACCATACCGTGGGGCTGGGGCAGATGCCATGGTGCCCTGGGGTTGGCTTTCAGCATGGGGCAGAGTCCGGCAAGTCTGCCACACAGCAAGAGGTGATGATGGGCCAAGAAACCCAGGAGGGTGGCAAAGTCTGGCAGCCCCTGCCTGCGCCGTGCCCTTGCCCCGAGCCCGGCTGCCCCCACATTACCTACAGAGGACTCTCCTCGTTGAAGCTCACGTCGCAGAAGAGCCGGGACGAGCGCTTGCCCGTCCGGGCCGTGAAAGGAACAGTTTTCAGAGCTGAGCAGAACAATCCAGAGAGACAGCGAGGAAGAGGAGGAGGAGGAGAGAGGAGGAAGAAGCAGAAGAGGAGGAAGAGCTATGAGACAGGGCAGAGACCACTCAGCAGCTTTGCCACATGGGATGGGAAGGTGCTATGGATGGGTTTGGTCCCCACGATGGGGCTTGGTGGCCCTCTGGCTCCAGGCTGTGACAGCCCCCCCTTACACAGGGTGTCCCTGCTCACCTGAAATAATCTCTCACCTGAAATAATATCCTCGATGGCCCCATCTTTTCCTTCGTAGATGAGCGGCTCCTTCACCATCTGCTTTTTCTTCAGCTCGGCAATCATGTCCATCTGCTGCCGCTTGGCTTTCTGGATGGGCAACTGCGGTTGGGGACAGTGCGGGGTGAAGGGCATGGCCTCTTGCTGCAGCCCAAAGGTGCCCCCCATCTTTGCCCCCCCCCCAGTTCTCTCCCACCAGGACCTGCTTTGCCATTCCCCGCCATGGGGCTGGAGTGGAGCTGCCCCACCCACCAGGACAGAGGGACGCGTGGGGCACCCTCACCTCGGGCTGATCCTTGCTGCCGGGGGGGCCGGATTCTGCCTCTTTGGCTGCGGCTTCTTGTTTCTTCCACAGCTCAATGTCCTGCTCTGCTTTCTTGAGAGAGGTGCAGGGAGGGTGTGCTGAGACAGGGGGGTCATGCCGCAGGACTACAGCCCCTCCTTCCCCCCGTCAGCAGCCCTCGGCTCATCCCAACCCAGCTCCAGCATCTCCAATTGCCCCGAAGGGCAGCACCAAGCCCCAGGGTCTCTCTGCTCCATGAGCCCCCAGCCTCATGTGTGGCTTCTTCTTGTTACCCCAAAGTGGGGTCAGACACCCCCAACCCCAAATTCCCTCCCAACCCCCAGAAACAGGGAACCCCCTGTCCTCTCCTACCTTGTAGGCTCTGATGAAGCGCATGAACATGGGGAAGAAGGTGGTGGGAGGACTGGTCTTGGGGTTCTCCCCAAAATACTCCACAGCCGACTCATACGCCTCCTGCGGGCAGAGACACCCCGATCCAGGGGGCTGGGGCCGGGCAGTAGCACCCCATCGCCCACTGCCTCCTTCCAGCCACTCTCCAATCTCGCCATTGCCCTCTGCATCCCCCCCGGCTCCCACCTCTCCTGCTGGAGTCACATCCCAGCTGGGACCCTCCCCCATGGGGCAGAGGTGTGAGCAGAGGGCACCCCGGGGTGTCCCCACATAGGAATGGGGGGGCCCAATCCTGCCCCACAACCGCACAGCACCCACCTTGGCGGTTTTGCTGTCAGCCTGCAGCTTCTCCATCACCTCCAAGTTGACCTTGAGGAAGTCCTTGAGCACGGGGCTGTCGTCCTGGCGCATGAACTCCTTGCGGGTCAGCTCCATCCCCTGCTGCAGGCTCCGCACGTCCTGCAACACGCTGTCCAGGGAGACTGCGGGGAGGGTGAGCGGCGCCGGGGTCAGGGCAGGCTCCAATTGCGCCTGCACCGGGGCTGCAGCCTGCCGTGACCCCCCCAGCCCCACTCCCACAGGCGCTACCTGTGCCTGCCTTCTCGAGGAAGTGCAGCTCGGTGTGGAAGCCGGTCAGCTCGGGGTACTTCTCCGTGATCACCCGCACCAGGTAATGCAGCAGCGTTTGCTTGCGATCTGTCGACTTCATCTCCAAGAGCTGGAAGAGAGCAGCGTCAGCCCTGCCCCGCATCCCACCACCCTGCTCAGGGCAGGTACTGGTGGCCCTCCAGCCCCATGACTGGTTCTGCATCCCTCTGTCCCCACAGCTGGTCCTTGCACACCTCCAGCTCCACGGCTGGTCCTTGCATCCCTCCAGCCCCATAGCTGGTTCCCATCCCTCCATCCCTGCAGCTGGTCCTTGCATCCCTCCATATCTGCTCTCTGCATCTTTCCAACCCCACAGCTAGTTCCTGTGTATCCCCATCCCTTTGGCTCCTCCCCATGCCTCTCCCAACCCTGTAGATGGGCTCTTCATCCCTCCATTCCCACAGCTGAGTCCTGTGTCCCTCCATCCCCACGGCTGGTCCCTGCATCCCTATAGCTGCTCCCCACACCTCTCCAAACCCTATAGATGAGCCCTCCATCCCTCCATCCCCACAGCTGAATCCCATGTCCCCCCTTGCAACCGTCCGTCCGCCCAGCAGGTTCCCATGTCCCTCCCGTCTCTACAGCCAGTCTGGGTGTCCCTCCACCCCCGAGGCCGGTCCCTGGGCAGTGACAGTGCCCCTGGTGCACCAGCACATGGGGCAGCCCCGCGCCGCCCCTACCGCGTCGAGGCTCTGCAGCCGGAAGCCATAGGCTGCCCCGCGCTTGCTGCTGTTCATGTAGTTCCCGAAGGCCAGGACGATCTGTGGAAACACAACAGCTCGGGGACACAACCTGGCATGGATGGGGCACCCCGGTGGGGGGGGGACAGTGCCTACACACACCCTGAGAGCACCCTGAGTGCTCCTGTCCCAGCCCGACTCCCCCCCATCAGGGACACCACGCCCTGAACTCCTCACCTCAAGGATGTTGCGCAGTTTGCTGGAGGACTTGAGGGACATGGAGGCGGCGATGATGGCATTGAGTTGCTGTGGGTGGGAGGAGAAGCGTGTGAGTCTCGCCATAGGATGCCACCCCCTCGCAGCCACCCCGGGACCCGACACCCACCGGCATGAGCAGCTGGGCTGTGTCGCTGAAGTTGCCCAGGAAGATCATGACGTTCATGCGCTCGGCCAGGCGCGGGATCTTGCTGAAGCGGATCATGAACTGGTCCTCGTCCGAGAGCTCCTCCAGCCGCTGCTGCTCCCGCTCAAACTTCCCAATGAGTGTCTGCTCGTACTCGGTGGGCAGGAAGCGCAGCAGCAGCTCCAGAAAGTCAAGGCTCAGGGCTTGCTGGTCATACCTGCGGGTGGTGGGAAACCCCCAGCACAGTCAGACCCTGTAGCAGGTCCCTCAACCCCCCTGTCACCGGTCTCTGCTTCCCGCATCCCTCCCTCTCTCCGCATCTGGTCCCTGCATCCCTCCATCCCCACAGCTGGTGCCATCATCCCAGCACACCCCACACCATCCCAAACCCTGGGTGTAGCTGGGCTTGCGCCCAACCTTCTACCAACCTTCCCCTAAGGAGGGGACACTCACGTCTCAATGGCTGTGCAGATGTCCTGGATGCTGCGGCCACCCTTGCGGAGGGTGATGGCCAGGTTCTTGGCTCGGTTGGACTCCATGAGGGTTACCTTGCTAGGAGCCTTCTGCGTGGCCTTCACCTTGAGGGCACTGATGTCCAACCCAGGGCCCTGTGCCTTGGTCTTGAACTGCTCCTCGAAGTCACTCATGTCCAGCTCCTGTGGGGAGACAGCGCTGAGGGCACAGCAGGGAGGTGACGCAGGACATCGGGGATGAGGACAGGGCCAGAGCACCGAGACAAGGGGGAGTGGAGTGAGAGGATGAAGATGGAGCAAGGGGATGAGGCCAAGTTGAAGGGATGAAGATGAAGCAAGGGGACAAGGACAGGAACAGGACAAGGGGACAGGGAGGGGGTAAGGAGATGAGGGGACCAGAGGATGAAGATGAGGAAGAAGACATGGAGAGAATGCAAGGACAAGTATGGAGCAAGGGGACAAGGATGGGGTGACAGGAGAAGGATGGCAGACTCCATGTTGTCCCTCTTCACAGAGCCAAAGAGCTGCTCCAACCCCCCGCTCCTCCAGCAGCCCCGTGACACCACGGATGGGTACAAGGTGGGCACGGGGGCAAGCTCAGCGCGGGTGCAGTGTGGACTGGGAGCACTGGCCCAGCCGAGCACCCTGCGCCCGCACCCCCCCAGGTCCCCCTGTGTCCTCACCTGCAGCACCTTCTCGTCATTCAGCTCAGTGAAGACGGTGCCATCGATCTGGCTCGGCTTCAGTGCCACCCAGTTGAAGACGGGCATGCGGAACTTGGTTTGGATTGGCTTCTTCACCTTCACTGCAGGGTGACAGGGAGGGGGGGACAAGTCACGGGGTGGGGGTGGGGTTCCGAAACCCACCCCAGGGTGCCCCACATCTTCCCTTGGGGCACATCCCCACCATCCCTGGGTCGCACTCACCTGAACCACCAGCAGCATGGGGGGCGCCC